ATTTAACTTAAATAATAAAAAATAATAATTTGAGTAAAATATTACTCCTAAGATTATTTTGGGAGAGAGAAGAGAGGGAGTAATAGCTCAATCTAACACCCTTTAGTTTTGTTGCAGGTTTTTCTTTTGTTTGATTTACGGTTTTGTAGGGCCCTCCATCTGTAGAATCATCTATCTTCAGACGAAGCATCCTTCACCTTTTTGTCCAAAAATGGAAGGTAGCAAAATGTTATCGTTTTTTTTTTTTTTATTATCTTTCCCTGTTTTAAAGGAAATTAGAATTTTATTTTGAAGTTTTTAACCAACACCTATCGCATCTCAATGTGCTATATTCCAGTATTGAGTGGAGAAATTAAAGAATTGCAAAGGGATCCGTTTATGGTAGAGGGTAGTAACCGCGCCGATCACCTCGCATTGGATGTCCATTGGACATCCAAGTACAAAACATTGCTTTTAGAGGATTCTACCACGTCCCCAAACACCTGCATCTTCAGAATTCCAGCCCCACTCAAGAGGCAAAATCGACAGGCTTATGAGCCTTATTTCTTTTCACTTGGTCCCTGGCACTTTCGCCAACCACACCTGATGGATGCTCAAAAGTACAAAATGAACTTTCTTGAACAACTTGTTGGGCGTTTCCCAATTTCAAAAGATAAGATTAAAGAGTTGGAAGAAATCATATCAGAGGTGCTGATCGAGGCTTCTGAATGCTACGGAGGTTGGGGGGCCATCAATGTCGAGAGCAGAGAAGAATTTGGGAAAATTTTGCTGTTGGATGGCTGCTTTGTTATTGAGATGCTTCGGAAGAGTGCTGGTCTCATACGGTTAAGCGAACATGACCAGCCAATCTTCTCCAATGCCATGAATTCGATTTGGTATCATGACCTGTTTTTGATAGAAAACCAAATACCTTGGTTTGTGCTTGAGCGCTTGTATGAGTCGATCAGAGTCTCTGAACAAGACAAGCCTTTGGTTGACATTGCAATTGATGCCTTCTTCTGGATATTTTCATATGATAAGTTTAAACTTCAGATACAGGCAGATCGCATTGGCCGTGAAGGGATCAACCACATCCTCGATCTTGCATGGCATTATTTGGGCTGGTCGTCAGAAACCGAATGCAAAGATTTTAGAAAAAACAGGCATAATATTCCTTCTGCTAGTAGGCTTCGAGAGGCAGGAGTCAAATTCAGAAGATCAGTGGAGTCGAGAAGAATCTTGGATGTAAGGTTCAACAAAACTGAAGGTGTTCTCGAAATCCCATCTTTACTTATTCACCCAACAACAGAAACACTCTTCCGAAACCTCATCAGCTATGAGCAATGCTATCGTTTCTATCCTTCTAAAGTCACCTGTTATGCGAAGCTCCTAAATGGACTTGTGGACACCCCTGAGGATGTGGATTTACTGTCCAGAAAAGACAGTTTTAATAACTGGCTAAGCCCTGAAGATGTGTCTGACTTCCTCAACAGACTACACAATGGCACCAATATGGACTGTTTGTATTATGCTCGACTTTGCTCGGATGTGAGAGATTATTGCAAGAGGTGGTGGCCAAAATGGCGAGCTTTTTACATCCACAACTATTTTACTAAGCCATGGGCTATTATTTCTCAAATTTTTGCCATTACCATTTTGGTTCTCACGATCTTACAGGTCATACCATCTTGGTCCTCACAATCTTACATGTCATTTTTAAGTAATAACTATTTGTTTCCTGATGCTTGAGACAATTTATATATTTAGGTACAAATTATGTTGTTAACATGTGTATTGAATAATTTTTAGACTTTCATATATAGATTATAATTTCTGTTTGTATAACATATATCTGTTGAAATGTATGTATATATATTTGTCAGTTAAACTTGAATGTGCTTATATATAAAACTCATCATTGTGTTTCTCTATTTTATCTTATATATACTAAATAAAAGGATTGATGTTGAAATATAATCTTTGGAGGAAATGTATATTTGCTCTAAATACAACATCAGCGTAACAATTTGTATCATTATTACAGATCCAAAGTCAATATTAAAAATTGAAAATTGTATTTTGTCCTAGTCTATGAATAGAGATTATTAGAATTGGGTCTATAAAGCTCTGTTAAGTACCACAGGAAAGCTGGAGATTAATGGGTACATTTATTTCTTCTTCTTATCGGTACTTTAATTTCTTCAGCATCAGCTTACTGCCAAGAAATATGGGAGACCTTTAATGTATCTTCTTTGACACCGACTCAAGTGCCTGCGTGCAGAAGTTATCAGTTTAAAAGTATGTTTGGGTTAATTTGTCAGAATTTTTATCTTTTTTATATATTATTTATGAGTGATAAGTTTAAATTTTAATTAAAGAGAAAATTTAAAAGTTGTTTTTAAATATAAGAAAAAACGAGTAAAAATAAAGTAAAAACGGAGTTTATAAAAAGTTTTAATTTAAAACTTTTGAATTTTTACTGTTTGAGATCTTTTTAAAATTCAAAAAAATTTTAAAATGTAAGTTTTTAAAAAAAATTTAGACTTATGAAATATGAATAGTATCAAAAAACTGAAATACTTAAAAACTGAACCAAACATGGTCTAAATCAGATCATGCTGTGCACACTGGTAGCATTTCTTTTCAGTTTCCGGTGCATGTTTTAATCCTAAGGCTGAGTTGCATTTGTTGTCTCCCTCAACAAATGTAATGAAACTAGGACATTTTTAATTAAAGATAATGCAACTAGTCATGAGA